CTCTCTCGCTATGTCTCTGTCAAATAAATAAATAAAATCTTTTAAAAAAGAAAAAAAGAAAAATACAAATAATTACTCGTAATATCCCACACCAGACTAACAAGGAGTGGTTGTGGTTTACAAACCAGTAAATAAATTAAGAAATAGCCTTTCAAGTACTTATAACGGCAAAGAGAAAAACAAAGTACTAATTTGCCTACAAATAAAAAGGTCAGTCCCTGAGCAAAATAACAGCTAAACTGGAAAAGATCCAGTGCAGTCCAAAGGACTTTTGAAACTTATTGGGATTTCAGTACTTACCCCAAATAATTATTTATGATTTATGCTAGTTATCAGTGTTTTGGGGAGAGAGACTGCTATTTTCTGGAAGAAAATCTTAAACTTAGATTTTTTTAATAACTACTTATCCCAGTATAACTCACATACGCTTATCCCAGTATAACTTACATACGCTCTCAAGGACTCTTCTCAAACACCATTTTTAAAAAAACATGCACCATTTATAATCAACAAAACCTGGAAACTACCTAAATCTCCATCAAGAATAGAATGAAGAAACTGTTGTCTATTCATACAATGGAATACTGCATAGCAATGAGAATAAATGAATTAAACTACATGCAACAGTATCTCAGAAATACTGAGCGAAAAGCTAGACACAAAAGGATACATGTTGTATGTGATCCCTTTCATAAAAAGTACACACAAGGCCTGTTAGAGGTCAGGAGAGTAGTGGAGGGTTTAGGGGGTAGCAGATGGAGGTTGGGTACTTCTGGGTGCTATTACATGGCTATGTTCATTTGTATAAATTCATCAAGCTGCACACTTAATGACTTGAGCACTTTCCTGTATCACTTTAGTAAGATAAAAATCTTGTCTTTGAAGTATATAATTCTGAGTTTAGTTAGTATGCCTGATATGCTTTGTGTTCGTTTTTTCTGAAAAAACCAGAGAAAGATGACTGCAATTATCTCTGACAATAGGGTCTGGAAATGCCTTTCAAATATCCAAGAATGAGGAATTGGTTTTAATCTTCTTTTAGTAATAAGAAAATTATACCCAAGTTTTTGAATGTGGTTGAAAAACTACATGCATCATCCTATAGGCAAAATTTTATTAATCAAAAGAGAGGACCCTACTACTTATGAATTAAGGGATTTTCACATAACTTTTATATATGAGAGTAGATGGGTGTATCTGACCTGAGGGTTTCCCCAAGTACTTCCATGGGAGGGTACGTTTAGGAACAAAGGATCATGTTGGTGAGGTTATTTTCTAGGAATGCTTTAGTGTAGCATGTTGCATGGGCCAGGAATCTGGAAATTTGGGTCCTAGTCCCAGCTATCAACAGTTAAGAGACCAAAGGCAAGTCACTTTTCTGGGTTCAGTTACATTATATATTTTAAAAAGAAAGCTGAGTTAGATGATGTTTAAGATCCCTCTTCTATCTCTATATGCTGTCACTCTAGGAGACAGTATTCTTTGGAGAGAGGGTCTCACATCATGTGTTCAATGTATGCACATTATATTATCCAGTCTGTCCCAAATGTTCGAAAGGTCAGTTGGCCAGAAAGAGATACACATGCAAGTAAATCAAAAAAGTTAGTCTCCTTCAAACTTTTATCCTTTGAATATTGATTTATAGTTGGTTCTAAAGAGAAATACTTGTTCCTTAATTTCTATTCAAGGGCACTGGCCTCTTTGGCAAGAATACAACCAATTTACTTTTCATCAATTCTGTATGGAGCCACCTGGGCTAACTTGGGATGTGCAATTTACGGTGGCGACACTTAAGAGACTGGAAATGTAAGCAGCAGTCCAGACAGCCCGCTCCTTCATCTGGCTTGGTGCTTATGCTCTCCTCACTAGGAAATGGGGGCTTACCTGCAATCTCTTTTCAAGGAATTGTTTTCCACCTTCCAAACCATATGAATGTTCATAAGGATAACTCCAATCCCGAATTAAAAACATTAATGTCTACAGACAGAAAAAAGTAGAAATCATTTCTTACAAAGTTTTATTAAAAAAAAAAATCACTATTTAACAATCATGCACTCCCTTAAACAATCCTTATCAAAAGTTATAGTAACAAATGGTTAATACTGCTCATAGTTCTAGCAAGGTCCTACTTAAGCCTACAACACTCCCAGCCCCTACACTAAGCAATTGCTTCCGTTTGAGAACTTCATGGTATATGAAGAGTCACCACAGGCAATAATACAGGGTCTTAAAAAAATGAACAAAAGGCATATCAGAGCATATAGATCATAATTTTAAGTCAAGGTTGTATAACTAAAAGACCAACTAATCTAATTCTAGACTAACTGATTCTCTTCACTCAATTTTTAATTTATATATGCTTAGGTTTCTCAATCTCAGCCTTACTGATATTTTGAACCAGACAATTCTTAGTTGTGCGTGGCTGGATGGTGAACAGCATTTCTGGCCTCCATGCACTACACCAGCAGCATTAACCTCCCTCCAAAACTGTGACAACCAAAAATGTCTCCAGACATTGGCAAATGTCCCAAGTGACAAAATTAACCCAGTTTAGAAAAACTGATGTAGGCCAACTAGAGTATATTTCAACCATATATACAAAATAAAGCCATAACCTGCCCAATATCTCATAAATGTGACCACTTGAGCCACATAAGACTGAGACAATCGACGTAAACCCACCCATACTAAGAATCACCAGCAATGCTGTCACACAGAAAGGACTTCACATATTGATGAGCAAACAGGGTGGAGTCATTCTCACCTACTGTAACACATCTGACTAAATAGTCAACTTATAATGCCAACTTATAAATTACACTTACTTTAAAAAAGAAACTATCTGAAATTAGCTTTGCTTTTTTTTTTTTAATTTAAATCTCTGTCATAACAGGACTCCACAGAAGCAAGCAGAGCATATGCTTCTCACACAACTCCACCCAGGTTTATTTCTGACTTAATATTCTGTACCTGGCATTTAAAAGGAATAAAAAACATATGGGGATTGAGGGGGTGGGAGGAGGGGAGAGATGTAATAAATTGTGAAACTTTTCTGTATGAAACCAAGAAAGAATAACAGGACTAACCTCAACTTGTAATATACCACCAAGAAACAAAACAAAAAAAAACCCCACTAATATTTTGTAATAGTTTCCTACGTACAAAAGAAATTTACATGACTGTCTCAAGTTGAGGAAATAACATCTAATTAAGAGAAATATTAACCTCTCAATCTAAGTATTAGCAATCTAACTATATCATTTATTCTCTTTCCTACTGTTAGCCTACTATTAAGGTGGTAATGACATAAGTTTCAACTCCACTGAATCTGTTGCTAAAAATGAATTTGTTGTAATATCTTCAGACTTAAAAGATAAGGTGGCGAGTTGGCTTTTTATACGTTAAGTTTTTAAAAATGATAAAATACTTATTTACCTGAAATGGTTTCTGGTAGATTTCTTCCATTGCAAGTCTGCCATACTCTGTAAATAACTATTAAAGCAAGTTATTTAAATTAATGCCCCCAAAGAGATTCAAAGAAGACACTGTAAAGCCATTCTATGTCAGACGAGATAGACATCAGAGCCTTTAAAATCATTTGAAAGTCAAGCATTTAATTTTCTAACAGACTGGGTATACCCTAAAATTTCTTCTAGTTAAGAAGTTATGTATCAGTTTAAAACCATATAATACTGAATTTTCTTACACTGTAATAGGCTTCTAGATGGAAAGCCACAATTAAGTAAGAATTATATTTTCCATTCTTTGACACACATTCTTTGAGAAATACATACTTGCAAGTGTTGAAGATCATCTTCTTGAATATTCTGAGACAGATTATATACCTGTTAAAACAAAATTATGTTTTTATTCATTTTTTTAATACCCACCTGTATGTAACTTTACTTGTAGAAATGAAGATTATTTTATATGTCAGCACAAATGAATCACTTAGTCATTAGCTTAAGAAGTGGCACATGAAAAGGATTTTCTCTTTCTTCCTAACAGGATAAAACATTAAGGGGGAAAAAGTGGTGGTAAATTATGTAAAAATCATGAATACATACATAAGCGGTCTAGAAAGTAGCAGACATTTTTAAAAAGTATATTACGTAAAAAGGTGTTTTTCTCCTTTTCAAAGTTTTTTTAATGTTATGACATGATCATTTATTTTTAACAGAGTGAAGATTGTTTCCACAATTATTTTTCTAAGTCAATGAACATGAGGGGCATAGTTCTGCAAAGATAATATTCCTCCCTGGTATAGAGTGTGTGTGTGTTTGTATATGGACAGATAGGCATAGTTTAGTTACTTGGTGGCTGCCTTGACTCCCTGGTATAATCGGGTGTGTGTGTGTGTGTGTGTGTGTGTAAAAAGGTATAGTTTATAGTTATTTGGTGGTTGCCTTGAGTAGTCTGTTGTGTGTGTGTTTGGGTGGATGGATAGAAAGGTATAGTTTATAGTTATTTGGTGGCTGCCTTGAGTAGTCTGTGTGTGTGTGTTTGGGTGGATGG